GGACTGCTAGTCCTCATATGTTTCCCCATTGTATAAAGTGTACAAAGATAGAAGGGACTGTGACGTCACTTGCTGAACGAGCGTTGCCGAGAATCGTCGGCCTCTCCCGATGATTAAATGTCATATGTTATATGTTTTATTTTAATAATATAATGGCAATTGTAATGACTGATAATTTTGTAGGAAATGATATTAATAATAGCTAAAAATCTTTATCATAATAGTTAATATTATTCAAAAAATATCTGTTATAGTTTTATTTCAATAATATAATAACAATTTTGTGGACTCATAATTTTGTAAGGAATGATATTAATAATTGCCATTATATTATTGAAATAAAACTGTCACAAATAATATTTGAATTACATTGACTATTATAATTAATATTATTAATATCATTTCTTGCAAAATTATCAGTCTTTTACAATACAATTTACATTATATTATTAAAATAAAACATATAGCGTATGATATTTAATAATTCGGGAGAGTTCCACGATTGTCGGCAACGCTCGTTCACACAGTTACGTCACAGCCCCTTCTATCTGTATGCACTTATTTTTTCTGTCCATGTAGTATAAGGTCTATGAAATAATAACAGAAACATTTATATTTAAATATTTATGATAATTATTAAAAACCAAGGTTAGTTAAAGTCACATATAACTATTTACTACTAACGTTGGCTATAGGCATTTTGAGTTTCATTCGAGTATCTATAATCAAGGGGCTTGTTCGTAGCTCAAATGGTAGTAGCTTTAGCCTGGCAACTACTGGGTTCCACGTTTTATGTCCGCCTCAGACAACCTGATATCAAGCAGTAGCAATAGAAGTATGATTTCGAATGGAAATAGACTTACATATTTAAATCTAATATAATAATAAATCTTATAATAATCTAAAAAAACAAAAACTAGCAACCACTAGGTTTCCTTCTAGGATATAAAGTATTACAGTGGGTTATAAAGAATTACATTACAGAAGTTCTTAGAACACATAAGAATAGCTTTGTTTATAAATGAAAAATAAAATAATATAAATAAAAAAATTAAATTAAAACTGCATTATATGAGAATATCGCATATTTAGCAGCGACCAAACAAGTGAAACCGCCTAGATCTAGGAAACCGCCTAGACCTAGGAAACTTTTTCAACATGTCATGTTTTTTCAAATAGTGGTTTTCAAGAGGTTCTCTATAATACGTTTTATATGAACATAAATCGCAAGCCCATTGTGGATTTTTTCCACATTCTACTCTAATGTGCCTTTGAAGATCGCGAAAATATGCGTACGATTTCGGACAATTTGCACATACAAATTCCTTATATCTCCAAGATGAGTCTGGAACGACGACATCAAAAGTATCTGAAAAAGAAATAATATTGTATT